TATGATGTAAGCAACAGCAGCAGCAACAGCCACTATGCCGGAGCATGGTGATGTATGCCACTAGAGTACAGCTGGCTCTGAACACTATGCCAGGGCACAATACAGTGGAAACTGGCTTTTAGTCTGAACACTATGCCAGGGCACAATGCAGTGGAAACTGGCTGTGAACACTGTACCAGAGAATGGTGATGCATCACACTGCATCAGCTCCAGCTACGCCGAGCGCCTGCTCAATCTGGAGACGCTGATCAGCGGGCAACTCCAGCGTGCCGGTTTGCGAGAACTGGGTCAGCATCTCGGCGGTTTGCCGGCTGGCCTCAATCTCCTGCTCGGCGAGGCGCGCGAGCTCCTTCTCGACGAGCCGCTCCAGCGACGGGTCGAGCTGCTGAGCGAGCTGGTAGTCGCGCCGAGCCAGGTCCGGCTCCCAGGCACCCAGGTAGGCACGGGCGCGACGGAATAACGCCTTGACGTTGTCTGGTTCCACGCCGAGTGCCAGCGTGCACCAGGTGACGGCGCGCTCAAACTCGCCGCGATTGAGTGCGCACTGGGAACAGTTAAGGGCCAGCGGCAGAAGCAGATCGGTCTGGTAGCGGCGGAAGTGCTCGCCGGTGGGCGTCTCAAACTCCAGCAGCTCCTGCGCCAGGCTGACGGCCGTGCAGAAGCGGTCGTAGGCCATGTCCAGACGGTGCATGCGATAGAGGTCGACGCCGCGCTGCCGCAGGCGAGGGACCAGCGCCGCCTTCTGCTCCGGGGTCTCCACCAGGTGCATGTCGCGCTCCACGTCACACGGCGGGTCCAGCGCGCACAGCTCGACCTCCAGGCGCAGTGGCAGGCCGCTGCGGGAGAACGCAGCCAGGTCGGCGTTCTCCTTGTCGTCGTCGTCAGAGACAATCGCCGCGGATCGCTCCGCCCCGCTGGATACGTCAGGGCGCCGCTGCTTGCACTTCTGTCTCCACCACGTCATTAGCTTGCTGTAGCCGTCCAAGCGCTAAGCGTGGGGTATAAGAAATGCACAGAACACACGCACGCATGTACACACACATGTCCGCATACACACACACACACACACACACACACGAACATGAAGCCCAGATGCACTTGCTTGAGCCGCGCCCCCGGCCTCACATGGATAACGGATAGCTACAATGTAGGATGAATGAAGTTGAACACTCCACTGCAGCTGTACTTATGCTTGATGCACAAGGTGGTAAATAAAGTGGGCAGCTGTGCATTCACCACCTTATTGCCATGTGTGCATTCACCACCTTATTGCCATGTGTGTATTTACCACCTTATCGCCATGTGTGTATTTACAACCATACGAATTGACTACAATGTAGCCCCCCCCCCCAAAGTACGTCAGGGGACTGTGCATCAACAGCATCAACCATCAACAAGAAGCAGCAAAGAAAATTCCAATTTTTTTTAAAGTCAAATAAGTCTGACCAACCCAAACCCCGACCACCATCCCCTCCTCCTACCTCCCAGAACGATTACAGTCAAACCTGTCTAAGACGACCGCTCGCGGGACCTTCAAAACACGGTCTCCGTTACCAGGTGGTCTCCTTATCCAGGGTCATTTGACTGGAAATAGTATCCCTGGGTCCTGGTTGCAGTGGTCTTCTGGGACAGGTGGTCGCCTAATCCGAGTGGTCGCCTTGACAGGTGGTTCTACTGTACTTTTCTAGCCTATCCTGGCTCTGAACTTCACACCTGCAATGATTGGTCAACTGCCCTCAGCCAACCAGAGTTCAGCAAGTGTTTTGGTGATAACACGAGCAGTAAAGAGGGCAGTAAAAAAAGCATGTTGGAGCACTCACGTCAGCGTCGACAATGAAGTGCGCAACCTCCTGGACTCGCATCTCCTGGAGCACCTCCATCAGCACGGGGAATATCTGCTCAGCGTGCACCAGATACTCCAGGGGACCGCCCTTGAGCGTGTGTGTGTCGTCCAGGGTAGTCTCCTTGCCACCTTTCTCCAGTATCGTAGAGCGGAAATGCACCAGAGCCTGGTGGCAAGCATACACACAGACACCCAGAAAGAGAGAGAGAGAGAGAGAGAGAGAGAGAGAGAGAGAGAGAGAGAGAGAGAGAGAGGGAGAGAGAGAGAGGGAGATAGAGAGAGAGAGATAGAGACAGAGAGAGAGGAGAGAGAGGATAGGAGAGAGAGAGAGAGGATAGGAGAGAGAGAGAGAGAGAGAGAGAGAGAGAGAGAGAGAGAGAGAGAGAGAGAGAGAGAGAGAGAGAGAGAGAGAGAGAGAGAGAGAGAGAGAGAGAGATAAAGAGAGAGGAGAGAGAGAGGAGAGAGAGGAGAGAGAGCAGAGAGCAGAGAGGAAGAGAGAGAGAGAGAGAGAGAGAGAGAGAGAGAGAGAGAGAGAGAGAGAGAGAGAGGAGGAGGAGGAGAGGGAGAGAGAGAGACACACACGTATCCACATGGATATACACTATTATACAGATGAACAGATGTACAGACACACACGAATGTGTTGTAACCATGTGACGGTTTATTGTCGTCATGATTAATTCTTTCAATACAGTGTTACTAAAGATCTGTTTGGTGTGTGTGTGTGTGTGTGTGTGTGTGTGTGTGTGTGTGTGTGTGTGTGTGTGTGTGTGTGTGTGTGTGTGTGTGTGTACGTGCACATGGTCAAGTCTGGGTGTATCAGAGTGTCCACCACCACCGCAGGAAGCAGTGGCATGAAGAGTGGAAGCAGATCTCTCATGTCTTCCGTCATCGTCGTGACGACAACCATGGACCACGCCAGGATTGACAGAGAACACCGCTTATAGGCGCCCGACACCGAATCGTGAGCACACATCCGAAGACACGCCGGTCCTTTGCACCGCAGTGTCCAACCGGAGGGTCTTCGGCTCGGTCACTCTTCTTCCCTTGTCCTTCCAAAATGCCCCTGAGCCTCTTCTCTCCGTATTGCTGGTGCAGGTTACCAAGAGTCCAGAACCCCAAGAGCGTGCAACTCTGGGATCCGCACGGCGGAATTCCAACATTACGTTAAAAATGACGTAGTAAGATTCCTTGTATAAAGAGACTTCCCAGAGTCTAATCTTTAGTCGAATCCTTGGTCGAGTAGCCTAAGCTTTAATCTTGTCTCGTCCAGGCGTCCATGGGACTCCTCATCATTCCCCTCGCTCATCTGATCGTGATATGTGAGCAGGCCGTAATCAGCGTAGAGATACCACGAAGGAAAGCTTTCAAACAGCTATGCTTCCTGAACCCAGGCAAGAAGTCGAAGAGTTTGCTCAGGAGGTACAGCATAGAGATGCCACGAAGGAAAGCTTTCAAGCAGCTATAGGTGCAGCGTAGAGATACCACGAAGGAAAGCTTTCAAACAGCTATGCTTCCTAAACCCAGGCAAGAAGTCGAAGAGTTTGCTCAGGAGGTACAGCATAGAGATGCCACGAAGGAAAGCTTTCAAGCAGCTATAGGTGCAGCGTAGAGATACCACGAAGGAAAGCTTTCCAGCAGCTACGCTTCTTAAACCCAGGCAAAAAGTCAAAAAGTTTGCTCAGGAGGTACAGCGTAGAGATACCACGAAGGAAAGCTTTCAAACAGCTATGCCTCCTAAACCCAGGCAAAGAGTCAAAAAGTTTGCTCAGGACTCCTCATGGGACTCCTCATCATTCCCCTCGCTCATCTAATCGTGATATGTAAGCAGGCCGTAATCACGATGCAACCTGCCATTACCAGCAAAATCATCGCGTGCTACGAGCATGAGCTACACCGAGTAGCCGTGAGGCAGTGTGGGCAACACAGCGGATCAGGGAATTTCGTCCCATCTATCAATAGTAAGTCCATACTACTCGAATAACTACTTGGTGCCTTGTGTTGGTCCGAGGGGAAATAATAGAGGATTGTCAACATTGGCGCCCAACTTTGGCTCACAATAACCCACGCCCACCGCTCTACCGACTCGACTCCTAACCTCACTACCGGTACTTGTAATGAATAGTCCCGGTTCTTTCCAATTCCCGCCGCGTGAGTAACTTCGACATCCTCGTAGAACGGCAGAGCTCACGTAGACCCAGACCCGCTGGACACAGCACATCCAGGGGAGTCTTCGACAAGTTTGCTCACGAGGTACAGCGTAAAGATACCACGAAGGAAAGCTTTCCAGCAGCTATGCTTCCTGAACCCAGGCAAAGAGTCGAAAAGTTTGCTCAGGAGGTACAGCATAGAAATACCACGAAGGAAAGCTTTCAAGCAGCTATGCTTCCTAAACCCAGGCAAGAAGTCAAAAGGTTTGCTCAGGAGGTACAGCGCAGAGATACCACGAAGGAAAGCTTTCAAGCAGCTATGCTTCCTAAACCCAGGCAAGAAGTCAAAGAGTTTGCTCAGGAGGTACAGCATAGAGATGCCACGAAGGAAAGCTTTCAAGCAGCTATAGGTGCAGCGTAGAGATACCACGAAGGAAAGCTTTCCAGCAGCTACGCTTCCTGAACCTAGGCAAAAAGTCAAAAAGTTTGCTCATACAGCGTAGAGATACCACGAAGGAAAGCTTTCAAACAGCTATGCCTCCTAAACCCAGGCAAAGAGTCAAAAAGTTTGCTCAGGACTCCTCGACTCCTCATGGGACTCCTCATCATTCCCCTCGCTCATCTGATCGTGATATGTGAGCAGGCCGTAATCACGATGCAACCTGCCATTGCCAGCAAAATCATCGCGTGCTACGAGCATGAGCTACACCGAGTAGCCGTGAGGCAGTGTGGGCAACACAGCGGATCAGGGAATTTCGTCCCATCTATCAATAGTAAGTCCATACTACTCGAATAACTACTCGGTGCCTTGTGTTGGTCCGAGGGGAAATAATAGAGGATTGTCAACATTGGCACCCAACTTTGGCTCACAATAACCCACGCCCACCGCTCTACCGACTCGACTCCTAACCTCACTACCGGTACTTGTAATGAATAGTCCCGGTTCTTTCCAATTCCCGCCGCGTGAGTAACTTCGACATCCTCGTAGAACGGCAGAGCTCACGTAGACCCAGACCCGCTGGACACAGCACATCCAGGGGAGTCTTCGACAAGTTTGCTCACGAGGTACAGCGTAAAGATACCACGAAGGAAAGCTTTCCAGCAGCTATGCTTCCTGAACCCAGGCAAAAAGTCAAAGAGTTTGCTCAGGAGGTACAGCGTAGAGATACCACGAAGGAAAGCTTTCAAGCAGCTATGCTTCCTAAACCCAGGCAAAAAGTCGAAAGGTTTGCTCAGGAGGTACAGCGTAGAGATACCACGAAGGAAAGCTTTCAAGCAGCTATGCTTCCTAAACCCAGGCAAAAAGTCAAAGAGTTTGCTCAGGAGGTACAGCGTAGAGATACCACGAAGGAAAGCTTTCAAGCAGCTATGCTTCCTAAACCCAGGCAAAAAGTCAAAAGGTTTGCTCAGGAGGTACAGCGTAGAGATACCACGAAGGAAAGCTTTCAAGCAGCTATGCTTCCTAAACCCAGGCAAAAAGTCAAAAGGTTTGCTCAGGAGGTACAGCGTAGAGATACCACGAAGGAAAGCTCTCAAGCAGCTATGCTTCCTAAACCCAGGCAAAAAGTCAAAGAGTTTGCTCAGGAGGTACAGCGTACAGATACCACGAAGGAAAGCTTTCAAGCAGCTATAGGTACAGCTTAGAGATACCACGAAGGAAAGCTTTCAAACAGCTATGCTTGCTGAGCAGCTGCCGACGCAGGTGAAATTCACACTTACATGTACATGTAGTCTGACAGGCAGACTGTCATCACGTTAGTTACGTCCAGTGATTGTCTACTGGCATCGCACTACATTTCACGCTCGGTGGGCTAATTCAACATAGCACATTGTCGCCGTCACGGTTCCCACGGCGACGGGCACAGGAGCAAGTCACAGGGGTTTTTTTTTTTTAGTTCCGGTGAATGTACTGTATGGACTGCGATTTATGCCTACAAGTACATGGCCTCTAAGCAGCGTGGCTGTAGATCTTGGAAGGCGAAGTCCGCAGATTGAATCATACATGTAGGTGCTATAGGCTTGAAAAGTGAAAGAGATTATCAGCTGCCCGCTTCTCTTTGTTCGTTTGTCTAGGGGTTGCAAACACCTACCGTACATTCATACATGCAAAATAAAAAATAATAATAAAAAACCTCCCGTCCGCCCCGATTTCTCGGGAAAATCTGACGATAAACAATCAATGTATTTTAAAGGGCCTGGTCATACTGCAGCAAATTTTCGGTGCCTGACGAAAAAAGAAAAGCGTCCAGAATTAGAATTGCGATCACACTACACATGTGGGGAGAATGAAAATTCAAAATTCATTTCAAGCGTCAAGTGGTAATCTCCACGAACGACGTCAAATTCCTTCACCTTGGGGATCGCCAACACCTTCAGTGCAATCCTTGCAACCATCCTTATGACTTTTGTTGTTGTCCGTGGCCAATTAGCTTCTCGATATCGAGATGAAAAAATCAGTGAATATCAGCGTCAATGGCGTATCAGCATCAAACTCCTGTTTGGAGCGGAAAAGCGCGGTCCGTTCTTGCTTTTTTTTTTGGAGCGTCAACTCTCGATTTTTCCGCTCTGCCGGCAAGTTACTATGGAGATTCGGATGATAATCACAGGATTATTTCTTTTTTGCCGCAGTCTGACCAGGCCCTAATGAAGAATAAGGTGACCGGCCTACCCTTCACATATGTACATACCATGCATACTCTAGCGTCTTCTAGGTGAAATCTAAATCTAGGTACTGTTAGGGGCCGTCCAAGGTTACCAATAATATTTTCAAAACGAAAAGATTTCGTTTGGGGGTGGGTGGGTTTGATGGAGTTTCGTTTTGAAAATAATTATTGAATGCAGATGGAGAATCCCCAGTTACTTCTGGGTGTCGAAAATTGAGATCAATATTTTATTGGAATTCGTTTTACCTGCAGAAAACGTGGGTGGGTGGGTGGGAGCTGAAAGATACTAAAGCTTTTCGTTTTGTAAAAACAATCGGTAACCCCGGACGATCCCTTAGGGGCCATCCGTAAATACAGATATTTATTTAGAAACGAAAACTAGTCGTTTAGGGGGGAGGGGGTTGAGCGCCTGTTCGTTTCTGGAAAACTATCTATGTACATTTTGCGTGTGTGAGCATATACAGAAAAAAGACCAAAAATATCGATACTGTGTACCATTTGTATGTGTTCGTTTCTCAGGGAGGGGAGGGGGGGGGAGAGGGGGGTTGAAGAGAAACGACTAGTTTTCGTTTCTAAATAAATATTGGTATTTACGGAAGCCCCCTAAGGGGTCGTCATTAATTATCGAACTTTTTTCACGAAACGAAATAATTTCGTTATGGGGTGGGAGGGGGTTGATCACTTTCATTTCAGAAAAGTTCTATACATGTACATGGCCATAGGAGCAGTGACACACTTGCGACTTTTGTTGTATATGCATGTATATGTCAACAATTTTTACGTTCTGAGGGGGAGGGAGGGAGGGGTTGGGTCTAAACTAAAATAATTCGTTTGATGAAAAAAGTTCGATATTTACGGACGGCCCCTAAGTCAACAAATAGTCGGCGCATATTTACTTTCGGCTATTTTCGGCCAAAAAATTTGTAGCGACCGAAATTTCGTTTTGCAAGGTTCAATGTGACAGTCTGTCCCCGGGGAAAATTGCGATTCCGCGGCCGCGTTTTTTTCCGCGTTTTTTGCGATTTTTTAAAAGACCGCGTTTTCCGCGATTTTTCAGCGTTTTTTTTAAAACTTTTCTGTTGCACTACACGTACACACAGTGCACTGTTCGGTCAGCAACGTCTCATCGTGGCGGCTTTGTATTCAAATATGACGAGCGCTTACACCAGAGACTTGTAACTGATTGATTTCACTACATACTCACTGAAAATTGCCTCATATCAACTGCAAACTTGCCGCCGCGAGATGATATCAATAATATTCACCGCATATTTACCGCATATTTACCGCAAATTCACCGCAAATTATGCCATATTATGCCGCATTTTTTGCCGCGCTTTTGCGATTTTTTCCGCAATTTTCCCCGGGGACAGGACAGTGTATACAGGCAGCAGCAGTAGAACAGGCCGAAAACTTAATGCGGACGAAATGGGTTTTTAGCCCTGGCAGGCCGAAATTTGAATGGACCGAACATCTGACCTGGTTTCTCTACCGAAAACAACATCTGTACCCACTATGAGCACACTGTGAGCACGCACAGAGTATGAAAGGCGATGGTACGGCGGGACCAATCAAAACCTGCTCCCGTCAGTCCTGTACAGGGCCGGCGCCACTGGTACGCCATGGCCGTACCAAAAAAAAAAAACCTTCCCAAAAAGTCGGTCCACATGGCCATATGGAACGTCCAAAACCGGGGAGAAAAAGTTTCGATGTATGATTTTGTACAGGGAGTCGCCCAGAGTGCAGGATTCGCCGTCTAAATTCCAAAAAATTTCTGGGGGACGACCCCCAGACCCCCCCCCCCCCCCCTTCAAGATGGCCATTCGGCCGCACCACTCCGCGGAAGCTGCCTCCGGCCCTGCTGTACCGTGTTACACGCTCTGGTCTTTTGTATTCGGTGATTCTAGACATTACTACACTGTGCATTACTACACTGTGCATTACAAAACAATCAACACTTCACGTTATACATACATAGCATCCGAAGCAGAAATCCGGCGCCTCCAGCGGCGAGAACGTGATCAGGCGCTTCTGGATCCCACGTCTGACCTGCTCCCACGGCGAGTCATCCTCATCACTGCCCTCCTCATCACTGCCCTCCTCATCTTCATCCTCACTGACGTCATTGCCATCCTCTTTCACCTCGCGAATTTTCGCCTTCTTTTTCTTCTTGGACTTCTCATCTTCTACCAAATCCCCGTCACCTGACATGCCGCACTGTTCCATGGCCGCGGCAAAGGCAGCGGCCAATTTCTCCGCGTCCAAGCCGGAACCTCCGTTCGGCATAGTGACTTCCATGCTGCGCTGTTTTCAAATATTTTCAAATAATAATTATAGCACCTATTAGTATTGGTCAAAGCTCTGTTCGCCTCGCCGTTGCGATAGTCAGGGCCGCTCGACAGAGCAGTAGTAACAACGCAAACACTGGCAATGTGGCTGACACAAAACAGTAATAACACGAGAGTACCAGGTCGACAAACAATGATTTGCCTGCGAGATAGGACTGAAATTGAAAACAGAGGACGAAGATTTGGAAGATCTACTTTCTACTGAGCTAGCTTGGCCATGAGGCCGAGGCCGAGGATCTGGACGGCGAGGTCGAGTCACGATGTCATGTGAGAATTTGATGCTTTCGCGTCGGTTCTACAGCTTTGCAATGCCGGATTGCGTGGATTTTACAATTACCGTACATACACACTTCTGAAATGCGTAGCTTGCAGTAGTACACCGTACATTTTCTCCAGAAAGAGTACTACATTACTTGGCGGGAACGTCGCTGATTGGTCGTCTCCTGGACAACGACACAGACCTGGTTCAAAACTATTTTTTAGATACAAGAACAGGTTTGCATTGGCAGATTTCGCAAGCGTCTGGCAAAAAGCGGTGCCATGGTAGCAGAGTATGGCGTCGTTTGTTGGCGTCGTTTACGTTTCCACTTGCACTGTTCCAGGTTTCAGCACAGCTCAGTTGCCAGTTTGAGTGCAATAAACTCAACAGTTGTTTACCTTTTGTGGGGAACACGTCAACATAAAGAAATCTTCAATTACACTTTGCTGGGAAACTGAACAAGACCAGTTTTGGTAGTTTATCCGAGAGACTCTAGAAGAAAGGAATCGTATTATGCAGCCGTTCATCTAGCTAGTTTCTGTATTCTGGCAAAGAAAACCAGCTCTGTTTTTGTCTGTCCATTAGAAATTATCTTTTTTTTTGTCGACTCGCCACATTTGTTCGTCTTGGGAGTTGAGCTGAGAGCGGACTATGGAGTCGTCGACCACTGGTGTAGTGATTGGCACATTCATCTTAGCCATAGCCATCTATGTGTTAATATCTCTCTTCAAAGGAGAGGATAAAAAGGACGAGGACTCCTCATCAGGAACAGCGAAAAAGGGCAAGGATCAAGCTGAGAAACCCAAGGCTGCATCAGCGGCGGCGGCAGCGGGCGGCGGCAAGAAAAAGCTCCAGCCGGCCAAGCTGAAGAAGATCGACCTGTCCTCGCACCCGTGCCTGGCCGCGGACCTGAGAGGGCACACGGCCCCCGTCCTGGGGCTTAGCGTCGACCCGTCCGGCGACTACCTGGCGTCTTGCTCCGAAGGTGGGTGTGACGTCACGATTACATCACGATTACGTCATTGTGTTAACTCTGTCTGACTCCAGTAGTAGTACTGTCGGATGCCGAAGAGCGGAGCGTCGAAGAACGACCAGCCTAGAATTTCACGGAGTACAACGCACCAATGTATACATGCAAGAGTCCACAATCCCCCAGAGTGCGCAACTGGGGTGGGGTTGTGGGACGGCGTAATCCGTGGTGTACGTCATTTCTTGGGTCGGACTTGCGTCATTCCGTCGACACGGTCCGCCACGGAAACACTTCCCCTACGCATGATGTCACACTATGACATGCAACACGGATTTCGCCGTCCCAGTTCTGATCAGTGAAGTTGCGCACTCTGGGACATTATGGACTCTTGATGTACATGTCATGGTGACTCAACTGTGCATAGACGGAAATACATGAACAATTTCAAAATACGAACGGTCTAGGCTAGGAGGCTGACTGCTGACCCCCGCCCCTCAGTTCTTCGACGACCGACAGTACTATAGGCATGCCGGGCTATACTTTGATAGTCCATGTGTCAGATGTCTGAGTCATGGCCCAGCTGATAGGTAATGTAGTTCGTGTAGAGCGCGGGACTGTTTCAAATAGGACCTACGTCGCAAGCCGGACCGGGCGCAATATTCACTTCCTCTCTTGGTATTTGTGTTAGAAAACACATTTCACAGTGAGACTGCGATGTGTTTTAATCAGAGCCAAAATGTCATGGCTCTGCGGTGATCAGAAGCGCCATACCAAGCAGGTGAGTTTTTGACGCGTTGCTTCGCACTTCGACTTGAGTTGAACGTCGTGCGAAAAGTCAACTTCTTGTCGCAGCGGCTCACCTCTCGCCAGTAAAGCACCGTATACCAATGAAAACTAATGGAAGCACACGCAAGGCTTTTTGTTTCTCCGTAATGGCGATAGTGGAGCGATAGCAGTTAGTACCTAATTTCAGAACTCTGGGTGAGCTTGACGTGCACTCCAAAACTGTCCCTGTTTGGAGGCACCTCAGTAACACCAAACTTTGAAACGAAAATCAGGCAACTTGGCAACACAAAGGAGTGGCTCAGTTCGATCGACGCTGGCCTCAGAGCAAACTTTAACATGCCAGCTTCCTTCCACAAACATATTATGTCGAGTGAACAATCCACACTGGTGATCGGTTTGGGTCTACACAGTTTGTCAAACCGGGCCTATTTCAAACAGTCCCATCTACACATGTATTCATGACCATGTTGCATTGCTGTCTGAGATGACATGACTTTGTGTGTGTGTGTGTGTGTGTGTCTGCGCGCGCGCGCGCACGCGTGTGTGCATGTCTGTGCTCCCTGTCCAGACCGTACGATACGCATTTGGTACTCGAATGACTTCTCGACGAGGGATCACAGGTACACGATCTATTTCGGTACTAGTTCATTGATCCTGTCGAAAACAGACATTTTGCAGGGTTTTACCTTCACTGGGAGCGGTTTTTCCAGCCGTGCTGCTACCCACAGTCAACTGGGAACTTGTGGCCAGGCACAAGGGGTACATGGATGCGGCTAATGGGGTCTTTCTCGGCACTTGTGCCAGTGGTTGTGAGACTTATCCACTCACCCCCACCGTTAGGCGCTGCATCTGCCGCTAGGGTTTACGGGGTGTTAGCGGCTGTCGTGAGTTCCCTTTGGGAACGGACACGATAATTTACTTCTTTTTTTTAACTTCACGTTTCCATGATAAACCTTTTTTGTACAGTATTTCCATAATAAACCCCTTTTGTATAACTGAAACTGAAGGAAGTAGAGGGAGAGAGACAGAGACAGATGCAGGGTGAGAGAGAGAGAGAGAGAGAGAGAGAGAGAGAGAGAGAGAGAGAGAGAGAGAGAGAGAGAGAGAGAGAGAGAGAGAGAGAGAGAGAGAGAGAGAGTGGGTGTGTGTGTGTGTGTGTGCGTGTGTGTGTGTGTGTGCGTGTGGGTGTAGGAAAGTTAAACCCGGGAGTACACTCACAAAGAAATCGACGGAAGCGCAATACCATTCACGAGAGAGCTTGGAAGCTCAGGGCCCTGCGCTATGTTTTGTTGCCTAGCTCCTCGTGCATGTTGTTAGAACTGATGGAAATGCTTTTTCCTTTGATTAGCTACATCATTGTATTGCAAAAACGTTTCAATGAGATACTGAAGTAACGTCTTCTGCATAGCTATGGGACCGGCGCTGACTCTGCCGATCACGGGCGTTCTGGAGTCGACGGGATGTCTGTCCTGACGTTTCCTGGGACCGGCGCTGACTCTGCCGATCACGGGAGTTTATCTTCTTATTATTATACTGACGGCAACTAACATCCATTCTGATTGCATTTACTCGTCTCCCTACTTCGTAGTTCTTTCCAGAAAATCTCCCCATACAGCAGGGAGTCGTTTACATAATATGACTCCCTGCTATACATCTACATGACTGTATAAACGTTATAATTATTATGCTATCCGCCTACATGCGATTCCCGGGCTGGTCGACAGGCGGCCCAGCCAGCCTGCTAGTGGGATCTCGGCCTCGCACACAAATCCACACAAAATGTTACTGCACTGAATGCATTCCCCCGATACACTTCGCATATATACTCATTCTCTTGTTGGTACCGTACTCTTGATGTTACGGGACAGGTACGGGATAGCGCCAGGCATGTCGATGGCACAAACAAACAAAAATATTGTGGCCAGCTGTCTTTGCTGGTACGGTACAGTACGGGACAGATACGGGATAGCGCCAGGCGTGACACAAACAAACAAACACACAAACACACAAATACCAAATTAAAGCTGTGTGGACCCTGGCTAGCGCCAGACGTTACTGAAGTAACGTCTTCTGCATAGCTACGGGAATAATAATAATTCTCTTGGTGATGCTGTGCTGTGGTGTATGTTGACAGGTACCATCGTATCAACGTGGAGCTCGACCATGCCAAGTCACTATGCTTCAGTCCCGACTCCAGGTAGGTGCTGCTTTAGTGTGATGTATGGTTTCCCTGTGTAGTGGCATTCCCCGAACTGTCTCTTGTCTTGCGTGCATGCGTGATTTGTGAGTCTTGGGTCTTGTCTTTTCAGTCTTCTTGTTCATTTCCCTTTTGATTGTAAGCACAGTTTTCGATGATGGCTCCTGGCCGAGAATTTGATTGAAATAATTATGCAATTTTGCAGCGAAGAGACCACTTGGATTGAAGATGGTGCGTGTAACGTTTTCCATCACAGTTTTCCATCACAGTTTTCCGTCACAGTTTTCCGTCACATCTTAGTTGGAGTACTGTAAAACATGTAATTTGGGGTGCAAATTCAGTGCCCAGGGACCTGCCAAGGTTCCGGTGTAATGTAGATTTAGGTGACCAGCGTTTCCTTCACATGCAGTGCATACTCTAGTGCCTTTTAGGTGTAATTTAGATTTAGGTGCCGGTTGCGCGTCTACCGAAATCACCGAAATTAAAGTTACACCGAAAATGACATGTTTCACAGACTGTGAATGACAACAACATAACGTACGCAAACAGATACTTGTCCTGTGTGTTCCTGTGTCCCGGGGAACGGAAGGGCTGTGATTCTGTAACAGTTCCCTGCCATACTGGGGATGATGGCTTTGAGTGATCTTTTCATGGCTAGTTCTTTACCGCTGAGGCCGTATTCTCGTCTTTCCCGGCAGCCATTATCGTATGCCCCATTTGTGTGCGTGTGTGTGTGGTGTGCATGTATGTATGTGCGTGTGTGCATGCATTCGTCCATTCGTCCGTTAGAGCTCTTGTGACAGCTCTAGACGACGCCCAGGCCATCCGGGTGTTCAAGCTAAATCGCAAGAAGGACGGTACCGTCCAGGGCTCCTCTGTCATCCTCGACCTGCAGAAGGTCAGTTGGGCCTTGTGTGGTATGGTAGTCCTGGAATGTGGTGCCTGCTCCTTAGCCACCTAGTTTTGGGTAGAGTCATTCACTCCCACTATTGTGTGTCTCCCCCGGGAACATAGGGCACAAATGCAGTGCTGCCAAACCGTCCGATTTTTCGAACAGTCCGATTTTCGAAGGCTCTTCCGAAAACCGGTCCGAAAGGGAAACGTCCGAAAAACAGCCAAAATGTCGGAGATCATTACTTTCATATGCAGAAGTCCTGTACTTTCACTTTTCAGCGCAACTGAAGGCACAAATCACTGTCCATTTGCTTCTAAAAAGGCTAGCGCTTGGCTGTGGAAGTGCAAAGTAACATGCCTGGATCAGGCTGGATGGCATGTACACTGACAGTCTGTACAGAGTTAGTGTGCGACCACACTCATCATTCCAAAATTCATGACAACTCCGGGGTTACCATGGCAACGACGCGAATTTTCATGGTGTTTTAGGCGATATTTTGAATTCTCTGTAAAAAAATGCCGAGGAGAAAAATTCGCACCATGTGGCCAGCCTTGACGGTGAAGGGTGTCCGATTTTGGGCGAAAATTATTTGGCAGCACTGCAAATGCCCCATATTTTATTGCTTCAAAAATCACCAATTGGTGCAGCTTTGGCTGAACCTACCGCACCGGTTCTGACGTGCCTGTACAGATACCGTAAACTTGGCGTGTAACTGGTGGCGTGCATGCATGCATGTGGGTGTGTGTTTGTGTGGTACACTTATGCCGGATTGTGGTGGGTCTGTTGCCAATGGGCTCAGCTGTTTGAAGGTGTAATGTTGTACCTGCCACCTTTGTTGGTTCCAGGGTTCATATACTTTCTATTTGAAGTATACATACCTGTTAACCATGGACTGCTTCTGGCTAGATTAAGGGGAAGTTAAGGCAAAAATCAAAATGTCACCAGTTGTAGTCTTCAGGGTGCCGAGTCGAATGGTCTTGGTCCGAGAAAGCTGAGACGCTCCCTTCCTACTTGAATCCCAATCGAACTCGCGCACTTCCACCGAAACTGGGTGACTGCGCCCTACTAGATGGGGATTTGTATGCAAAATGTCACTAAAAGCGCTATTTCGTTCTTATAAAAGCATGGATGACCGCGATTGGCCCATATGTTGTAGTCTTTTGGACACTGAGTCGACTGGTTTTGGTCCGAAAAGGCTGCGATGCAGCGTTCCTCCTTTATTTCCAATCGAACATGGTTGAACAAGCGGTCACGTGCTCCTGGGTGCCCAAATCACCTGGTCACCACGCCAGCAGGCGACATCTTTCACACCAAGGGTCAACTCGAGTTCAACTCGAGTGACAGGAGTGCACCCAAAAAAGGTCAAACAGGCTAGTAAGTTGTACCCTGCAGGCACGCTGACCAGGTGGCTGGTGTACGCAGGAGCACGTGACCGCTTCTTCAACCATGTTCGATTGGGAATAAAGGAGGAACGCTGCATCGCAGCCGTTTCGGACCAAAACCAGTCGACTCAGCGTCCGAAAGGCTACAACATATGGGCCAATCGCGGTCATCCGTGCTTTTATAAGAACGAAATGGCGCTTTTTGTGACATTTTGCATACAAATCCCCATCTCGTAGGGCGCAGTCACCCAGTTTCGGTGGAAGTGCGCGAGTTCGATTGGGATTAAAGTAGGAAGGGAGCGTCTCAGCTTCCTCGGACCATGACCATTCGACTCAGCACCCCGAAGACTACTTGTACAACTGGTGAAATTTTGATTTTTGCCTTAACTTCCCCTTTAAAGCGGGATTCACAGAAGCTTTTTTGCGATGCGACACGCGATGCGACAGGCGCGAAACCGGGAAAACCCCAAATCGCAGCCATGTCGCACCTCACGCAACTGCCGCAACAGGGCCATCGCAGGCCATCGCAGAAGTTGAGCTTGGCTCAACTTTTGCGATGCGATGCGACAAGCGATTTGGCGTACGATTTTGACCTTTTCAACAGCAAAGTTGTACAAAGGTTCAAGATTTGCCTATAAATTTGTACAAGTTGTATCAAACCGTGCAAATATCAGGGTGACGTACCCAAATCATCAAGATGTTGTCGCATCACTGACTTCTTCTGTGAATGGTATTTCGCGAGTTCGCATCGCACGCGTCCGTCGCAGATCGCGTCGCATTGCGTGTCGCATCGCAAAAAAGCTTCTGTGAATCCCGCTTTACTCTTGTGTAATCAATGGTGCTAGTGAAGTTTACATCAGATTCACTCTGATTTAGCCACCCACACTAGTAGCAAGTATTACCTTCACTGGGGGCAGGGGTAACTGCAGTTGGATCCCAGGACGGATACCCTGATGCCGTCAATCTTTTTTCTGCACCTTGTCCTCACCCACTTACTGAGGTGTGGCGAGCCCATAAGTGGGATTATTTTCAAGTCCACCCAGAGTTTTGGGGGTTTCAGGGGGTGTCCGCCGTTGCGCGGTTCAATAGCCAGTTGAGTCATCTTTCCAAGATTTGTTTTGAGTCTCTCTCCACTCTCCCGGGGAGACCCACGTGACCAGTTTTGGCAGTGAGCAACAAGTACAAGTAAGTACAAGTGTTTGTGTGTATGTGTCTTCAGCCTTGCAAGCTGTTGAATGGTGTAATCCCAGCACAAGTTGCTATGTCTAACATAGCTGTTCGCTATCATCGCTTCCGCGGTGGGCAGGTCTGAGGTCCGTGTGTGTGTGTGTGTGTGTGTGTGTGTCTGTGTGTGTCTGCGTGTATGTGTGTGTCTGCGTGTATGTGTGTGTGTGTGTACATGTATGCGTGTATTTGCTGTGCTGGCAGGTTCACTCTTTGCCTATTCTCAACGTGGCTATAGCCTCTACTGGCAAGTTCATGCTGACCGCGTCTAGTGACAACAAGATTGTTATCTGGACACCAAAAGGTACAGTGCAGTGCAGTATTGTCTGGGTGTGTGAAGTGTGTAGTATTGCGTGTGTGTGAAGTGTGTAGTATTGCGTGTGTGTGTGTGTGTGTGTGTGTGTGTGTGTGTGTGTGTGTGTGTGTGTGTGTGTGTGTGTGTGTGTGTGTGTGTCTGGGTGTGTACAGTGTGCAGAGCACACAGTGGGTGTTGATTTGTAGTACGTTTCTGATTGTGTCTGGTTCTGTCTCTGCGCTTGTACATGTGCACACGAACGCAGTGTGTCTGATTATGCTCCTTGTCTTTGCGATGCTTTACCTCATTGTCTGGTGGTGGTGGTGGTGGTGGTGGTGGGTGGTGGGTGCGTGCGTGTGTTGTGTGCGTGCTGTGTGCGTGTTGTGTGCGTGTTGTGTTGTGTGTTTGTGTGCGTGTTGTGTTGTGTGTTTGTGTGATGGTGGCCATGCATATTCCATTCATCAATTCACTTACGGTATCTGTACATTACCACATGTCACGTGTGCTTGTGCTGTGTGTGTCGTGTGACCTTGTGCTGTGTGTGTCATGTGACCTTGTGCTGTGTGACTGTGTGTGTCATGTGCTCTTGACCTCCTCTTGTGCTGTGTGTGTCATGTGACCTTGTTCTGTGTGTGTGCTATCTGCCATTTGCCCATGTGCTGTGTGTGACATGTGCCCATGTGCTGTGTGTGTTATGTGACCTTGTGCTGTGTGTGTATCATGTGACCTTGTGCTGTGTGTGTGTCATGTGACCTTGTGCTGTGTGTGTGTCATGTGACCTTGGTTGCAGGAGATGTTCTGGAGTCCATTGACACTCGTCAGGTGACTACACACTGGGCTGCTATCTCCCCGTGCGGACGATTCATCGCCTCGGCTGGTAAGCGTGACCTTCTGTCCACTGCCGTAGTCGAACTGCACACGCTACAGCCGTACTGTTGTCTAGACGAAATCCAACCGTTGGATCTCCGCTGTACACATTGCGCATACTGTCACCATGCATGTAATCATTATAATGTTTGAATTGTCCCGTATTTCAGGGTTGACAGTACATGTACATGTATTAAATTTTATGAAATCCAACCCTTGGATCTCCGCTGTATAATCATTTTGATGTTTTTAAAAACAGTCCCGTATTTCAGGGTATACAATGGTACTTGACGGTATTTGCTACCCGTGTCCTTGCGTTTAGTTACTGACAGTTGGTTTGTGAATGCCGGTGACCATACATGCGGGTACAGTACCCGTCCCCTTTTATTAGCCACCGTGATGTGTGTGGCGTGTGTCCATTGACCGCCGCTGTGTGTTTTTGCGTCGACTTCTTCACCACCACCGCTGCACACTGCGGCCGACCACACGCGGTGGTTGCCCCGCCACCACTTCTCGCACGTATTCGGGGAATATCACTTTCGTATGAAAAAAATAGAATAAAATAAATGGAGAATGGGACGTATGCATCCATTTTCCGCCATTAGGTTTTTGCAGGGCAAGTCCATTACAACCATACACACACACATTGATACCAGCTCTGCAGAAAAGGTCATGAACTTTGTGAGGTCACGCTCATAAGCGCACCAGAACGGGCTGTACCTGCCAAGTATGGGGTAACCTGCCCCGCAAAAAGGTGATGGCCATCTTAGATGCATACCTCCCATTTTCGACGGCCCAGTGCTTCTGTTTACCCCCCTATTTATACGTTTTGTTTTTTCCTGATTTTTCGCGATGTTGTAGGTTTCACATCCGACGTGAAGATTTGGGAGGTGAAGTTTAGCAAGTCGGGCGAGTTCCTTGCTGTAAGTTTTAGAAAAACCTGCTTGTTTTTGTGGGGACGTGGTGGCCCAAATGTTCCCGACCACCGCTTGCTGTTGTGCGGTGCACGGCTAGCGGAGTGATTAGGCCCGTGCCTGTGGCTGGAACAGTGCTGCCTATTGGTTGTCGTCATGGTGATAGTCACATGCCATGCAAAATTAATTAATGTCAGAAGGACGAAAACTCACACGAGCATGCAACTGCACATACACGTCTGTAATGACTCGTGTCCAAAATTACACCATTTTTCATGATGTAATTCAGTTGACGGTACGAATGCACAGTATATGCCTTCACTGTGTCTGCTTTTGTTTGTGTCTTCCTGTCTCGCCATCTGTTGTCTATTTTTGTTCTTTCCTCTTTGTGTCACACCGTTTGTTGTCGTGTTTCGTTTCTGCCCCTTCCTGTCCCACCGTTGTTTTGTTCTGGGCAGGTTAACCGTGCCATGGAGCTGAAGGGCCATACCAGCGCCGTCTACCATTTCAGTTTCTCTGCCGACTCTAAGCGGTGAGCAGTGAGGGATTTCGAACGCGCCCTTTGTGTTGAGGGGTGGCTGTGGTGGTGGTGGGGGCTGGGGCTATCGCCATGCTGCTAACAGCTAAGTGTGTGCATGTACATGTGTGTGTGTGGGGGGGGGGGGGGGCATGTGTGTGTGTGTGTGTGTGTGTGTGTGTGTGTGTGTGTGTGTGTGTGTGTGTGTACGCGCGCACCCATGCATGCATGAGTGGGTGGGTGGGTAGAGTACATTGCTCATCCAGGATTATGGAGGGTGTTAACCATACTCACATGCATTATTCATACACTCCGTATTTGGCAATGCACAATGTGCTTGTGACGTTACATGGGAGAGTATCAAAACTAACTGGAAACAGTTAACATCTCTGCTGCGAGTGCTAAACTGTCACTGGCTTTGTGTCAGGATATGTAAGGGGAAAAGCAATGTGTGAGTATCCGAACACTCGGCTTAGCTGTAGAGCAGTAGTGACATCTTTTTTTTGTCACTCCGGGTAAAGAGATTTAGCACCTTTACACGCTGCTTTGCTAACGCGGTTCGCCTCTTGTCGGGCATGGGTCGTGAGACTTGCCACCTCACCCTCGCCGTTAATGGCGCTGCATCTGCCACCCTGGTTTAATCAGGCATGGTGGTGGCCTGGCACAAGTGAAATTTCTCTAAGCTGGTTGTGTTTCTCACCACGATTGTTTTTGTTTTACTCAACACGACTGATCGCACAGCATGGGGCTGTGTTCCCAAAAATAAGCTCAAGAAAATGGACAAAAGAAATTGAACACACACACACACACACACACACACACACACACACACACACACACACACACACACACACACACACACACACACAAACACACACACACACACTATCGCGAGCCGGTGGTAACGCGATGTGTGAACTTTACTTTTACTTGCATGCCGCTTTTAAAGGCGTGCCTGAGAACGGATTTATTCACAACACCAATCGCGTGAAACTATGAAGTAAGAACCAAAGAAAAAAAGACAACCCGAATTTGGAAATTCATGTGGAACACTTGACTGAAGTGTAAGATTGAGCACGAAAGCTCGACAAGAAAGCGTTACCTAAATGACCTACCGGCATGCAAAGGTGAAGTCGCGTGCTTATTGCCCTGGTGTAGCGCCGCCTAGAGCGTGTGGCGGTGATAGTCGACAGTCTGCGCTAAGTGTTAATCCACACCTTTGCCTAGTGCATGCAAATACAATGTACATGTAGGACTGTGTTGACTCGCTCTCAGCTTCATTTCCCTTGTAGGCCGCTGGTGAGACTGGGCAGAGAAGCTCTCGGTGAAGACTTGACTGAGTGACTGAGTGTAGTGGACTGGAGACTTAGTGTTCCTTTGTGTGATAACATGTACCTTCTTACGTCTCTAGTTATTGGTACTTGAATGTAGAATCTCATGTATGGTATATGTGACTAGTAGTGCTGAAACAATTATATCGAATACTCGTTACTTACTCGATAAGAAATAGATCGAACGGTTATTTCGATTTTATCGGCTAAACGAGTAGAATGGTACTTACGCTCGGTATGGGATTTCCCCCCTATTGGGGGTTGCACAAATCGTGCATGCACCGAAAGTGTTGCGAGTAGATCTACGACACGAATATGTACATGACTGTACACTTGCAACATCGATGTACGTGTAAAGACACAAGCGCGATTTGAGAAACATCGACGCGATCACCGTCGCCTTCTTTTGAGCTGACTACTTTTCTTACATACAGCATGCAGGACGGGCAGGCTCAGTATGTGTCTACACTAGCTGCAGGGGCTGGAGTTCCCTTCACGTGCGAGTAGCCTTGAGCTAAAGACAGTAAAGTGGTCTTCAGTTTCATGTTTTCCGTTCTGCCGACGGTTCCCAAACCAGTTTGCTCGACGACGAGCTAGGCCTGGCGTCTGGGCCTATTTTGACCATAGACAGGAAAAGCAACTAGTTACTTGTTGGTGCGCCTCAAGTCAGCTCATCCGTCGAAATCCGCCGATCTGCACCCCTGCCCTGGCCGGCTTCTCTGACTTCATCGTCGGAGTCAGCGAAGTCACAGGCGAAGGGCACCATCAGCTCTTGGGTTGCAACCAGTGAGTTGCCTCTGTCTTGTCTGTATTCGTCTGGTCAGCTCGAACAGCTGACGGACTTGTTGCGGGATCATCGGATCTATGCGCCCGCTTTTCGTCCTTGGCGATGTTGGACTCGTATTTTTTTTGAAATTCACAGAATGTACATGCACTGATGTAGTTACAATAATAATCGTTTAGCCGATAAGCCGATCGTTATGGTCTACTATAAGCTAAGCCACTAAGGAAAAAACGTAATCGTTTCAGCACTAGTGACTAGATCTGTCACCTCAGCCAGGTCTGGTCGTACTTTGAGGTGGGTGCGAGTGATGTGTTTGGACCTCTCTCTCTCGCTCTCTCTCTCTCTCTCTCTCTCTCTCTCTCTCTCTCTCTCTCTCTCTCTCTCTCTCTCTCTCTCTCTCTCTCTCTCTCTCTCTCTCTCGCTCTTTCTCTCTCTCTCGCTCTCTCTCTATCCCTCTCTCTCTCTCTCTCTCTCTCTCTCTCTCTCTCTCTCTCTCTCTCTCTCTCTCTCTCTCTCTCTCTCTCTCTCTCTCTCTCTTTTTCTCTCTCTCTCTCTCTCTCTCTTCCTCTTCCTCTCTGTGTTTTCTTTGTGTGACTTTGTTTCTAGAATGGCGACCGTGTCGAAGGACGGTCATTTCAAGGTGTGGGATATTGACGGTACGTATAGCTCCTTGCTCTGTGTGTGTGTGTTTGTGTGTACGAGGAAAGTACAGTGAATCCTGTCTAAGACGACCGCTCAAGGGACCTTCAAAACGTGGTCTCTGTTACCAGGTGGTCTCCTTATCCAGGGTCAAGTGACTGGAAATAGCATTCATTGGTCCTGGTTTCAGTGGTCTTTTAGGACAGGTGGTCACCTTATCCGAGTGGTCTCCTTCACAGGTTTTACTGTATATCGTATCCAGCGAATTCTGTACTGAAGTTTCACAGTATGGGAAGAAGTATTCCAGTAGCTACTTCAAAGCATTTGCACTCGGGCGAACATTTACCTGTAGGGCCAGCAATTGTTATGTTTGCACACGTTTGACATGATTCAATGGTGCACCTGCCGCTTGTCTTGTTCACGTGCGGATTGGAGGAATGCTGGTGGTATGGAGGTTGCATGGAATCGTACCCAAATGAAATGGTGCTGTATTGTTGTGCTGGTAATTCTCTACTGTAGCAGTTCTTTAAAACTCTAAAAACACTTTGTGAACTATGTACTTCGGCTCCTCTATAGTCCGGCACCATCCTTGCCGCGGAAATTCTGCTGGAGTAGGGAGGGTGCTGGATTAGCTAATCTGATTTACTGCTGCAATGTGCATGAAGAGGACGGACATTTTCGTTACTGAAAAGTTACTGTAATTTCACAAATTTTCGGTGTACTTTTATTTTCGGTACTTAACCTGGCCTTTTGCTCTCATACTGAAAATATTGAGCACCTAAAATTTCTGAAATTAGAGTATGCCGGTTTATCGAGGGTGCTGGTTTATACAGAGCTGGATTTAAGAGAAACAGTTTTCCTTTATTTTGCACTTGTCCAGTGAACTTTGAATTGCGGCAAGACCCCAAACTGCTGACGGACAAGGACCACTTTGCACAGCTTGGTAGCAGCTCTAGTGATCCGATGTTAGCCGCTATCTCCCCGGATGCCACAACGGTGGCTGTAGCTTCTGACCGTACTGTGTCCGTGTACCGTGCCGACGGTACTGATGTCAATATGTATGGCGTCGTGCATGGAGGTGAGATTCGGGTGCAGTGTGTGTGTGTTTGTGTGTTGGGGGGGGGGAGGGGGGGGGGGGGTGTTTGTGTGTGTGTGTGTGTGTGTGTGTGTGTGTGTTTGTGTGTGTGTGGGGGGGGGGGGGGGCATGGCGGCCTGTTTGTGTGCATGGGGGAAAGGGTTGGATAGATGGTGACCTGTTTGGGTTCATGGGGGGGGGGGGGGGGGGTCGCTGGCCTGTTTATGTGCATTGGGGGGGGGGGGGGGGTAGTGGTCTGTTTGAGTGCATGGGGGGGGGGGGGGGTTATGTGCATTTGGGAGGGAGGGGGGGGGGGGGGTATGTGCACGGGGCATCTTAGCGTTCTTTTGCCAACATCTCTTCCAATATTCTATCTCTGTGTGTTCGCATATGCGTGTGCTTTTGGGTGGATATGCGTGTGGGTGTGTCGGTGTGTGTGCGCGTGTATTTGCGTGTGCTGCTTTTCGGCCTGCCCAACACCACCCCGCAGCGGACATCACCTCGCTGGCGTGGCATCCCGACTCTCGGCTACTCTGCTCTGCGGGCGCTGACAAGCGTGTGTGCGTCTGGCACAACCTCACCGGTATGCAGGCCAACATAGAGCAGCTTACGACGAAGATCCGCTCCACACGCGCCGACACTGTTCGCACTCGCCTCCAAGGACAACTCGATGAGCTCAAGTGAGTGCAACACACACATGTCAAAACTTGATTACTCCGGGCTCGTTTTCACGAGGAATAAGCTTAGGCTAACCGCATGGGCGAGAATAGAAATACCGGGCACTTTTTTCAGAAGACGCATTGAGAGGGGGGGGGGGGGGGGGGCTCTATTCCTATTATGTTTGTGGTCTGTGTGTCCAATCATTATTTAAAGTAGCTGGAAATCAAATTTTCGAATTGGCCCGAAATGTTTGGGATCTGAAGTATACAGTATCTTCAATGTGCCATGTAGCGATGAAATGGCCAAAAAAAGTAGCTGGTCACCATATTAATTATTGTGGAAGGATGAGCACCCCGAAATTGGATATTTTGGGATTTTCGCTCAAATTACCACTTATTTTGCTCGAAATAGGCCACCATCATGAGAAATTTGCCTGAAATGTTTCGCTAATATTTACAAATCAACTCTGCCAAGTGTAAGACACTACAGTCCATTTCAAAACTATAGACGCGTACCTAGGCAAAAACCGTTATGCCAGCATCTATACCACATAAAATCTGTGATCACTTTGTGCATAATTTTTTCCAAATTGGGCGTCTGTTATCCAATCCTTTAGAAACTATATGAGAGTAATTGTGGAGCGATCCTGAGCAATATTCCGAAAACTATTCTCAAAAAGTTCCAGCCAAATTTGAAATATTTCAAAAACCCTACGCGTCTATAGTTTTGAAATGCACTGTAGTAAAACCAAGAAAAGTGACTGTTCACCACAAAAAGTGTTTTTATTTTTTTCCAGCTACCTTAACCATCCCTTGCCTGCTGCTTTGTGACTGTGCTGTTCCGTATAGGACACGTGTCGACGACATTCAAGCACTCCGTGCAGTGGCTGCCACTGCCTGAGTACCGCTTGCCAGAAACGACAGCATCAGCAGCGTTACTGTCAATGCACCATTATATCTATGAGGAGTATGCAAGCGCCTATGTGTGCACATGTGTGCATGCGTGCGTGTGTGCGGCGCTACTGTCAATGCACCGTTATAATTATATCTATGAGGAGTATGCGTGCGTGCCTATGTGTGCATGCATGTGTGTGTGTGTGTGCGAGTGCGAGAGAGACGAAGTAGCGTTATCTATTCTTCATTGCTTGCTTACGCTGTGGCAGGAAGCAGAGTGCTTGCGCTGGTTGAATTGCACTGTTGTCGCATGTCAGCCCTGCATAACACTAGCTATCTCTCCCCACAAACACTCCACAGTTGCCCTGGCAACACTTGCCATGCTTATAATTTGCTCCTTCATTCATTGGCTCCGTTACTTGCTTTAATGTCTCTCTTTTTTCGGTAATTCCAACCTTCCCAGATATTTCCTATTTTACCTGTCCTTTTACCTGTCCTTTTCCCTTGGTTTGTACCTGCTCCCGAAACACACCATCAACATACGCTTATAGGCGATTCAGACTACGGCCAACTGTGACCACGTTTCTACGACGTGTTTGATCAGCGATTGTGCATAATTATTTGAAAGCTACAAACGGCGTAAGGAACGCGCTATGGAAATGGGGAGACGGGTATAGAGATGCAGAAAAAACATGTACGGATTACAAAAAGGAAAGGATTCGCACAGTCTGCGAAGAAGGAAAAATATGGATTTGAGCGTAATTTATTATGATTTGCAAATTTTTGATACTATAATACTATGCTAAATCTGTGAATCTACAACTATTCGAAATACTTCTCTAATGTCTGCCAGCAGAACTGCTGAAACAAGTTTTCGCCTAGAAGTCTATAAGACAAGAGGAGCAAAGGTAAAATTATGTGCATTTTCAATTTTTACTTGCGAGTAGTTTTCATGCATTGGGCGCAACGGTGCGTAAGGAAACGGATGTGTTAGTGTAGGCGGTTGCAAGCGTGGACAAGAATCATCATAATTACTTGAAGCATATGTGTGGGACCGAATCTCATGAACAGTGAACAGTGTAGTGGTGGTATGTGTCTGCTGGGTTTGCCGTCTGGCTACTTTGGCTTGATGAGGAGATTTAACGGCACGGAGTATTTGTCTTCGTTGGCCGTCACCTCCGGTTCTTTGCTAGGTCTTGTCTGTCGAAGGTCGAACGGATCACTGTAAAGACCATCAGAGTGCATTGCTGAAGCTGGCAGAGGCAGTGCCATCGCTCCCTGAGGCACGCCATCGTTGACTGTCTTCTCCGGTTGTTTGCTAGGTCTTGTTCGACAGCGGTCAAACGGATCACTGTATTCATCACCAATGTGCATTGCTGAAATTGGCAGTCTCATCGCTCCCTGAGGCACGCCATCGTTGACCGTATCCTCTGGTTCTTTCCTAGGTCTTGTTCGACAGCGGTCAAACGGATCACTGTATTCATCAACCGTGTCCATCATTGCCGAAATTGGCAGCGGCAGCGCCATGGCTCCCTGAGGCACGCTGGTCGTTCTGCTCAACGCGTGGCCGGGCCCTTCCTCCCCAGGCAACGCAGGCTTCAGGGTCTTGCGGGGCAGAGGGCGCTGCACGGCGGCAATGCTGCTAACGCTGCGGCTGTTGGCTATGACGCTGCTGACGCTGCGGCTGTTGACAATGCTGGTGCGCGGGCTGCTCGTGATGCTGTGCCTGCGCTGTCGCCGGGGGCTGACCAGTTGCCGCGAGAAGGCAAAGTCGATGTACGAGCCGCTGTCACGGTAGACCGTCCCCAGGCTCTTCGGGCTGTGAGTGGACACAGAGCGTCGCAGTGCGCCGCTCTGGCTATGCGGAGCGCCGCGCTGCTCCACATCCATATACAAATCCGGAGGGTCCTCGACTGAATTTCCGGCCGACAGTGACGTCCTGGAGAAGGAGGGAGCGGTACCGTCCAGACCCCAGCGCCGGGGTGATGCGTTCAGGCCGTGCTGGTCATGGCGGCCCTCTACATCCGCATACAAACCAGGTAGGTCCTCGACTGAATTTCCGGCCGATACAGACACTCTTTTGAGGCAGGAAGTGGCGCCGTTGCTCCTAGTTCTGTGGAGATGCGAGTGCAGATCCGACGACACGGTCGAAAGCGTAGTGAACATGCTTGGGGAGTCTGGCACCCGGTCCAGACTGAGGTTAGAGCAATGGGGAGACCATCGGCCCTGCTGCTGCTGCTGGTGAAACTGATCGGATTCGTGTGACTTGGAGCTGGTCAGTTGAGGATGGAGGTTGGGGACAGACCGGTGGAAGCTTTTGGGCCTTCCCAGTGCGCCCATCCCCGCACTCTGACTTAGATCGAGGTCTGCGTGCACGTCCTTACGGCTTTGTCTGCGGCTACTGCTAATGCCGCACAGGTCTCGGTCGAGACTCTCGTTTGAGCCGAGCTGGAAGTGCGACAAGGACATCGGCGAGGAGACGAGTTCTTGTGCCGGGTGCCCGAACGTCGTCTGCATGCTCACCATGGACATCTGACTGCCAAACGGCCGGTCGCGAGGTTCCGGTGACGGCAGGACGTCCATATTGGAAGTCGCCATGGTGCAGCTGGGTGCAGGCTGCAGGTAGAGTGCTTCCTCCTCCTCCTCCTCGGCCAGTGAGTCGGCTTCGGCATCACTGCCCAAGGGAGAGTCGTGTGCCACAGTTGTCGCCTTGCGGACATTCCGACACCCAGTGGATATGCCCTCAATGGGCTCCTGCTCATGCTCCTGCCCGTCGCTCTGCTCGCCATTGCTAGCGGCGGGATCCATCCAGTCATCCATGTCATCATTCGCTGCTCCAGCTAGACCGCGAGCGTTTGCCTCACCAGAGGTTGGTACTGCTCCGCCGGCCGAGCTAGATCCACAGGAGCTGGTTCTCTGCTGCCAGGTGCTGGGTTGCCAGTCACAATACGTCTTGGACTCGAGTATGCTCGTCGGTGGTGCCGGTATGACGATTGAGCTCACGCTGTTTCGAGCCGTCCAGGCGCTCCTCTTCTGCAGCTCAAAATACTCGGGGGCTTCGTGCACCACCTCGTGCCCGTCCGCCATCATGCCTGCCTTGGTCGCCGGGCTGACAGCGGTTGTCGTGGATACGCTGCGAGCATGCGCGTCTCTGCATGTCGCCGTCATGTCGATGTACTGGTCCGGGTCCGAGATAGACGCTCTGATGCACGCCGCTGACGCCGGCGCATGCATGGCGGTTTCCACGATCATCTTGGGTGTCTTCTCGTCGCCCATAGAAAGCTGTGACTTGTCGCTGGATACCGGTTGCACACCAAGGTGCATTATGCGTTCACATGATTCCTTGGGCAGCGCTGGGAAATTGTAGCTGCTACCACGCATGCAGTACATGGCCGTAGTGCACATGAATACCAGCGCCAGGAAGCCCAAGACCGATGGTAACACGATCAGCAGGAAGCCTTGTGATGCAGCGAACTTAGAGACTGATGTGAAAAATGCAACATTCGACAGACGCAAGGGCAATCACATGCATGCACAGAGACAGATAGACAAACACACACACATGTACACACAGATAGATAGACAGACAGACAGGCAGGGAGAAAGACAGACAGACAGACAGACAGACAGACAGACACACACACACACACACACACACACACACACACACACACACACAAATTAGTGCAACCAGGAAGACTCCCATGCCAATGGGGTAGGAAATACAGTCAATCATACTTGATGCAAAACCTTTCAGTCCTGTTTACATATGAAGCACAAATAGTGTTGTTCTCCCCCTGGCCCCGCCACACAGCAACGCAAACTCTTGGTTGTGCCTCAATATATTGACAACATAATTATGACGAGGGCTCAGGAGGAGAAAGGAAGTGCAAGACTAAAACAAAAAGACACGAAGAACTGACAAAGAACAAGCAGTCATAAGGCGCCGACAAATCGGGACAACCAATCAGGGACCAATGCGTACAGAACACATGACCAAGACCAAGACAACCAGACCACGGACGAATCACACATCACGCATTCCCAGACCAAACTAGCACTGCGCATGCACAGCATTCACTTGCAAGTCACTCTCACACAGACCGAAACAGATTCTCACACTCTGACAACACGCACTTTTTGCATGCACCACATACCATGCACACATCACACCATACCCACACGTACACTTTAGACAATTATTTTAATATTATGACATCAGACACTGGACTCTACGAGACAAGAACCGGATACATGTACACCAACGTGCATACATAATACTCAAATGGATTTTGTCAGCACATACACAGGGTCCGCACACAGACATACATTAGAAGTTCAAGTATATTTCGGGGCACAAAAAACCAAGATTTGACTTTTCAAGGATATTTTCAAGCGCTGCTGCTAACTGTCGACGACGGAACGAAAAACGATTCACTGTCAAAGCTGGAGTACTCCGCTCCACAGCTTCACAATGCTTTTTCCCCTTCGCGTGACTCTTGACTGAGGAGATACCGCCGCCCGAAATATCAAAATCTGACCTGCAGAGTGAGCATCGTGCTCTGAATTCATCGCTGGGAATAGCTACTACTTAGTACTAGCCACTTGCGAAACTCCGGTGTTGACAGCCAAGCGTCACGAAAATGACATTTTCCCTTCGGAGGCATCTCCGCCACAACTGCTCCGACGCACGGCGAGTTACGAGGAAATCCACACCATGTACCAGCGAACTACTCAATCTGCGGTGAACTACAAAAAGAAGAGCAAGTAGAGGCTAGGCTAAAACTACTTACCACTTGAAGAGCGCGAGCAACTAAAGTAGTTACTCGAAAAATTCAAAAATGTGTAGTTTCGACCCGTCGACACAAGACCACTGCCGTACTTCCCGCTAGTACTGTAGTGAAGACTAATGTAGCATGTATGCAGCTAGTACTACGCTCGTACAGTGCAGGCGCGAACGGCAAGATCAAGCCGAGCAGGCCGCGCAGTCTTCGTTTCGCGTGCGCTTGTAAATTTGAAGTACGACTCGTACACAACAGTTGATCACAGTGGCATGCTTGGCATAGACTGTACATCTCCAGGTACACTGACGCCGCCAAAAAACTGAATTTCAAGGATATTTCAGGACAAACCATGTATTTCAACAAGATTTACGGTTTTTTCAGTATATTCTTTACTGGGAATTTTTTTAGGTATATTATAGGGTTTTCAAGGGCTGTGCGGACCCTGATACACATAGACTGGAGAGTGCACATACCAGACTTCTGCTTGGAACATTCAACTGTTTTTTGGTTTTGGTTTGAAAATCATTATTTTTACAAATGCTCTTTTCTGATTTCTCCTCCAGTGTATGTATTTTTTAATCCATTGTGTTACTTTTTGCCCGTTAAAGAGACTTGTGCATCAGAAAAAAACATTCAACGTGATACATACTAGGGGTGTTCAGAAACTTTCCGGGATGATCTTGAAAACAAAATTTTTGATATGTTTTATTTCTCAAAGCAGGTCGGTCTCCTAGGGAACCCTTTGCAAAATTTCGTTCAAATCAAAAGTTTTTGTACGCTTATATAGCAGTTTTAGACCTGCCGTTGGCAAGAAATACCATTACCTTTGCATGTACCGGTCCCGGTCCAAGTGGTGTTGAGACCAGCGTCGGGCGCATGTGGCAGGTGACAAGTGAAGATCTTATCACCGGCCACAGAGTATCCGGTGCGACAGTAGAGTTCTGCCGTGATGCTGTCCGACTGGCCAACAATTATGCCGTCCTCCACCAGCGTGTGCATCGGACACTGCTGACCGCCACGCACTAGAACAGCCAGTTCATGCACGTGAACACACACACACATGTGCAGACACATGAACACACAAACATGCACACACGAACATATACACGTGCACACACACACAAACACATATATATACACACACACACACACATATATATATATATACACATGCACACACACACACACACACACACACGCACACGCACACACACACACACACACACACACACACACACACACAATAAAAATATGTCATCCCGCGGTCTGACAGGTCCTGTGACAGCATGATCTATGTAGTGCGCAGCTCTGTGTTTGAGCTGTCACAATCTGTAGCAGTTACTACTGTAAAAGCATTACAGGGTACCTCACTTCAAACTCTCCAACTACGGTCTCTTCGCTGCATAAGTTCACTTCACTTTGTAGTGGAATGATGGCAAAGCCCCTGTGACCCAACCCAAGCGGCCACACAACCAAGACGTTTTATTTAGCTTACATTTGTCTACAAGGAAAAAAGAGAACTGAAAAAAAGCCATGATCTCGGAACTACTCGTAGTAGTAGTAGTAGTACTGCTTGACCTAAACCGGAACTAAATCGTACCCGCACGGTACGCAGCGCAGACTGCACGTACAGCAGAACATAACCATGATAACGCGACGCAGCTTGGAAAGCCAGCTAGCTAGCTATGTATGAAACAACGGACCGCAAGCATGACAGCGGGAAATGCAAAGGGCCAGTCGGCAACAGTACACAATGACGATTTATGCTATTGGGTATCATTCATGGCTAGACCTAACACTGTATGCACGTGACATGTCGCCAAGTTATTGTTCTAACCAGAGGAGTAATTGTCACCTTCAGCAGCATGGATCTAAGAGTAAGACTAAGACTGTATTCATCATCACACCTCCACCAGGTGACAAGTCTCTTTACGAGCAAAGACCGGAATACACTCGAAACGCTGTGAAAGGAAAAACCTATAGCATTTAGGAACACAACCTAGAATAATAGAACCACAGAACAAATGAACTACTGCACACCATCAGCTCCACACTCACGGAGCATACCTCCTTGGGGCTCTCAATGTATCTCGATTCCGGAGGCTTCGTCCAACTGGCTGATCATCTTCAGCAATCGGCAGGTCAAAGGCAATGGGCAGTTCGCCATTGCTGCTAGAACTGGCCTCCACCTGGTCGACTTCCGTTGACTCTGACTCAGCCTCGCCTGGATCCATCTTCAACAGATCAACATTCACGATCTTCGTGCCACCGCGACCGTGCGCAACGACGACCGTTGAGGATGCCACCACTGCCTCGACCACCCAACCACGCTCGTAGGGAGGCTGGCGCTTCTGCCGTCGGTCCTGGCGTCGCAACAGTACTGGATCTCCGGGCTGATAGGGACAGGCGACACGAGATCTCGATTCATCGATGGAGTCAGCTTGCGATAACTGGCCGTCTAAATAATCCCACACCCGGGCCGTCTGCATCTTCAGCTTGTCCACCCAAGCGCTCTCAGATAGCTCGCTGCCGGACTTCTCCACCACCAGGCGCTTCGGCTTCCAGCCATACATCGCCTCGGCCGGGCTGATTCGAGTGACACTATGCGGGCGTACACGGTACTTGAATAGCAGCAGATCAAGAGCCGCTTTCCAATCATCCTCTTCCTCCAACACCTTCCGAATCAAAGTGAGGAGCGTACGATTGAACCTCTCTACCGTGCCTTGACTCTGCGGGTGACGAACTGCACCATGCTGCACTCGAACTCCAAACGCCGCAAACAAAGCCGACATGATAGCGTTGACAAACTCGGTGCCGTTGTCGCAGCGCACAATCTCTGGTGGGCCCCACCGGGCACAGATGGACAGAAAGGCATCAGCAACACTTCGTGCATCGTGCCGGGGCAACGGAACGACTTCAGTCCATTTGGTAAATGCGTCCACACACACCAGGACGCAGTGGAACCTGCCATCACGACTGCCGCCGAGCTCCATGGTGTCGATGAACACGGTGTTCCACGGACCAGATGGCATGGCAGACCTCGTAGCTGGAACACTCTCGCCACGCTGCGGACTGGCAACAGCACAGGCCTGACACTTGCCAACAAAGTCCTGGCACTTTGCTGCCATTGAGGGAAAGAAGCACCGGCATTGCAGAAACCGCCAGGTTCCCTCCCAACCGGCGTGTCCAGTCTGAAGATGGGCTGCGCGCAACACTCTCTCCTCCAGAGACTCTGGGACTACTGGAACGACTTCTTCTTCACCAGTCGGCACCTTGAAGCTCCTCATCAGGACACCGTCGGCAACACAGAGTTGATTCTGGATCTTCTTGTAGCCAGCAGCGACAACTTCCTGTTCAGCTGTCTTCGCTGCAATCACCGCTGTGATGGCCGCATCACTTTCCTGTTCGCTGGCTATCTCTTGGAGCGACACAGGGCCAAGAGCAGATGGATCGATGCAGGCACCAGACACGCCGACGTCAAACTCGCCGACGCCTGACTGACCTTTCCAGTACTGGACGAGCTTCTCAGGAACTCTAGTCAGCTCGTCTGCCTTGTTGCTGGCAGATGGAACCCACTCCAGATCAACGCTGAGGTCAGCCGCTTTGATCAAGTCATCGATGATTTGGAGTCGCCGGTGAACCACCACCTTGTTCAGCCCACTGACTTTGATTCGCTTCAAGTGGCCGAAAAGCGAGCTCAGCCAGCCATGAACGGTCTTGGAGTCGGTCAAGACCTTCACCTTGCGCACATTCCACTCAACCGCCAAACTCAGGCCCTTGATGACCGCCTCGAGCTCTGATAGGTTGATGTGGCGAGTGTCGTTCTTCAGTCTCAGCCAGCATTGGTCCTCTACCACTCGGCCGTCGACTTCCAGGGCCACGCCATAGGCGATACTCGAGGCATCACACCAGATCTTCCAGGAGTGTTCCTCGCCGCTTGGAACGCTCCAAGCACCATGAACTGGGTCTTCCTTCAGCACCCGAGCCATGACGTCACGACACAACACCTGCAACTCTTCTGGAACCGGCTCATCCCATGCATCAGTCAGACAGGCCAAACGACGGAGCCAGCTTGACATCGGCCGCAGCCAGCGACACACAGGATAATGCGCCGTCAGGGCGCCACACCAGCGAAAGATGCTACGCTTCGTCAGCACAGCAGGAATATCAATGGATGTCGGGTCACGACGATCCCATCGCAGCTGGTCTCCCTCAGCATCAATCTTCAGGCCAAGCACGCACGCCTCCTCAAGCTTCACAGGCGGCTTCGTTGGTAGACCATACCGTTGCAGAGAGGCAGCCAGCTCCTTGGTCTGATGGCGTGGTGTCAGGATGTCATCCACATAGTTGTCAGTTGCCGGAAAGTCCTTCGTAACCCACCGGACAATAGCATCCATGACTTTTGGTGCGATTGAAAGGCCGAACCCCATGCGCTGCATGACAAACTTCTGACCTTTCCAAGCCACCACCTGAAACCGCTGCAAGACAGGCTGTACACGCACGTTCAGGAAGGCCTTCCGAATATCCAGGATATCCATAGCATCGCCGCACTGGCGCCATTTCCGAAGCTTCTCTTCACATGCTGGTGCATCCAGGCCCGGATGAGACACAATGAGACTGTTCAGCGCGCGATAATCCAGACAGGGGCGGACCGGAGTGGACACTTTGTGCTCTTGACACACTGCCAGCAGAGGCAAAACACCGCCAATCTCGCCGTGCGAGCCTTCGTCATAAGGAACTAGCCATCCTTGATCAATCCAGTTTTGGACCTCGGTGACGAACTTCACCTCCTGATCATCCGATAATCCTTGGCGGGAATACTCGCCGATGCCTGTACCGATAGGTGAACTTGGAGCAGCTCCGTCGCACCATTTCCAAGTGACTTCCCAGAAGCCTTTCTCGGGGTCGAACATCACTTCACAGTCACTCATCTCCAACGTGACCTTGTCTCCATCCTGTCGGACCTGAACGTGGCGTGGCAAGTGCTCTTCATTGCTGATCTTACTCTCGACTGCAGCCACGACTGGCCTCGTTCCGAACACAGCACCAGTTAGCTGGCCGTCACTCTCTGAATACTCCAGAGCAACACCACCGGCCGATGAGATCACGTCAAGACCAATCAGCATGTCAGAGCGAACCACGTCCAGAGAATCAACTACCAGAAACTTGGCCTTGATTTTCGGCAGGTACACATTGTTGTCATCACGGGAGACAGTCAGCTCCACAGTGCCAGTGATATCGAGTGAGTTGCCGTTAATAGCCGTGATCATGTCCTCACCCGACGGCTTGCAGACAGGCACAGACAGTGTACGCACCGCAGCAGAAGACACTAGGGAGCGACTCGAGCAAGAGTCAATGGCTGCCTTCAGCCTGGTCCGCTCTCCATTGACCGACACGAAGACTTTCGGCAGGCCACCACGACGCCTGGCAACGAGGGCAAGACATGCATCATCTTCGCACTCTGCAGCAGCGACATCTGGTGATACTGCAAATGCATTGGCACCTGCACCAGGATTCCTGCCACTCACTTGTCCTTCGGATTTGGCCTCAGGACAGTGCCTCTTGATGTGACCAAATCGCTTACATCTGAAACACTGCACCTTCTTCTTCTTGGGGCAGTCCCTCCTCAGGTGGCCAGTTTCTCCGCACAGGTAGCATACTCTGCTGTCTCCTGGCTCAGGTCCTACGGCAGACGCGCTGACACCAGGCTCATCCGCCACTGCAAGGAGAGCACGTGCTTGCTTCGTCAGCTGTGTCATCGTGGGATCCCCACTAGCCGCCGCACTGAGGCGCAGCTGATTTGCAAATCGACGAGGCAGACCTGACAAGAACTGCTCGACGAGCACCGGGTCTTTTCCATCTGCTGCTTCCTTGTGGCCACTACGCGTCAACAAAAGGCGCAAGTCAGATGCATAAACATCAACAGTTTCATCTTCCCGCTTCCGACGTCGCACAAACTGGGAGTACGCCTCCCTCGACGAGCAGGCGAACGACTCCTCAAGCCGTGCCTTCACCTTATCCT